TATATATAATAATAAAAATGTTTTTTCCTGAAAAGTGACAGAAAAGTGACAAAACATGAAAACATATATAATTTGTGAAAAGCGACATAAAAAGTGACATTTTTAAAAGTGACACCATTAATATGATGTAAATAACAACGGTTTTGGTTTTGTCACCGGCTGGTCGGCTGGGGTTTGGTCCTCCTCTACGTTCTTGTGTCCATTTCTTAGGGGCTAGAAGGGGCGCAGCCCCTGGAAGCCCCACTCACCTGACCTGATATACAATGTGTGTGTAAAGAAAATACTTTATTTACTAGTTAAAAAATCATTTGGTATTGATCAAGTTATTTTTTCTGGATAAGATATTATATGGATAATTGGATAGAAAATACAATTATATAATCTTGTACCTGGTTTAATTAAGCTAATTGTCATCAGAAACTTGTAATTTTTATGAATTTCAGATTTTCTTTTCATTACTGCTTTTCTTAATAGGTCAAGTTCTTATTTACGTTATAAAGTATGATATTTACAAATATCAAGTTATCATGTTTTTTGAGAAATTATGAGAAACAAACAAAAATGAAAAAGATAGGAATAGCAATGAATAGTGATGTGGGTATAGAAAATGTAAGAGATATGAATGCAAAGCAATCAGTATTTAGGATATTGACCATAGATTTCGAAAAAAAATGCTGCATATTGAGCGAAAACTATGATTATATTATAAGGCTGTCATTTAAAGCATAATGAAACTATTCCCTTTTCATTTTAATCGAATAAGATAGTAAAGATTTTTGAATTAGCTAGAAACTGATGAGATGTTTTCACAAATCAGATTTTTAATCTCTATAATGCATAATTCACTCAATATCTCAATTTTGATATTGCGAGATATTTTTGCTATCGGTTTCGCAATTTTGACACAATAGCAAGAGGGTTCTATAAGCATTATTATCAACGTAGAATCTGAATATCATATCAGAAAATATCGCAAATCTGACATTTACCCGACCAAATAGCAAAAATAATTGAATACTTTTCGCAAAAACTTTAAAAATCGATAAAAATATGAAATATAGATATTAAAGAGACTTTTTATATAATATTCATAAAGATTTTCCAAAAATATGATACCGCAAAATTAAAAAAGTGACGTCTTGAGTGGAGTCAAAGGTCGAAATTGCTAGCTAAATGTTTTTTTAGCGAAATTGCGTATTGTACGTTTTTTTCGCAAAACGAAACCCTTATTACAAGATAATTAAAATATATGACCTCATTATAAATGAATTTTAACTCTAGATAATTGAGAAAGCTATAAATTGTTTCTAAATCTTGAAATTATTCGATGTCAATCTAATTTTTCTTGTTATAGCCTACTTCTATGGTGTACAGGTTGTCATAATTACTATTTTAAAGTGTAAAACATGCTTATATCAATCAGGACGTTAAAATGGAAAAGTACATACCAAGCAAATGTTTGGATTTATATGCGACAGCCTTTTTAATGGATGTGACAAAGCGTTTCAATATAGATTTTGATTAAAGCATAACTGCAAATTATAATTTGACTTTATATGTACCAATAATAATGGCAATTATGAGTTTTTTTATATAAATTATATCACACCACTTCTAGTAATTTTTAGCTTAAGCATATCATCGGCTAATTTTCAAAAAAAAAAAAATTTCAAATTTTAATCCAAATTCTTTTCTTAAAATTCACAATCAAATTACAGCTTATCTTTAATAGTCTTATTCATTCTATGCTTTTTTTTCGGCTCCATAAAAGTCATAAATTTTTCCATCATAAATTTGTTAGAAATTGGGTTACCATTGCCAAACATTTGGATAGAAAAAGCCCAATAAATTATACCCAAAGCATCCAAACATGAAGATATCATATAAGAAATATAGTTTAATTCAGTAATTCCCTAAAATCTAAAATGTTTAAGAACGTTTGTTCAATATCTTACAATCTAATTCACAGATTTAGCATATGTACTACGTATCAAATATACAATGTGATCTCTCAATAAGCTTAGAAGGTTAATTATTAAAATTAAATAAAATTCTACAATTAGCGAAAAATAATACGGCAGATAATATGCTTATAGGTAAAGAAATTCAAAGAGCATTCCTTAAATTTTTTCGAAATTTATCAAAACTCGAAGGTAAATCATCGAGTGATATGCGAAAAAAACTTTTTTATTCTATTAATGATAATAAATATATTAGCCATATTAAAACTTTTCATTTTTTAAAACTCATAGAAATACGTTTGATATTCTTCATTAAGAACATATAAAAACGAGTATAATTATCATAATCTGTTAATTTACAATATAAATGCTTTTCTGCTTGTAGTAAATATCAAATAAGAAAATAATAACATTATAAATTTTTCAAATAAGAATATATTATCTAGCATCTAAGCATGAAGATATTTAGAATTTGGATATCTAAATTCTGCTTAGATTACTTTCAAAATATAAGTCAATAATCTTTGATTTTATTAAACGCTAATATTGGATAGTATATTTTCACAATTTAATTGTAGTTAGATAAATGATAATTCATGTAACTCATTGATTTCGATCAAAAGTTATATTCACCTTGTTAAAAAAAATAAAAAAATAAAAAAACTGGGTGCTTACTGATTTGAACATATTGCCTTTGAACCCCACGACATAACCAGTAGGCTAAACGTACAGTGATTTTTTTTATAAATTCTAGTATAAAATACTTCCCGCAGGGCATTTGTTTAATTATTTCACATTCTGATGACATAATTTTTAATATCATAGATAATGAAAGCGAAAAATATATAAAAATCGACAAACATGTTATAATGAATTGAGAGCTTTACGTGTCAAAAAACACATTTCATACTGATTTCTATAAAAGGTATCTTTATTATAGAAGTGTAAGCTATATCTGTTTTTTTATTATAACAAATTCAAAATTCTCTTATAAGGATTAGATGAAATCTGTATTACTAAATCATTAGCTAAATGAAGGTTCAAAATAGAAAAGTAAATATCAAATTTATATGATACTGAAACACCAAATAGTTCTTTAAATAAAAGATAACACGCTGAAAATTATTGAGTATTTGCAAATCTCAAAAATCTATTGGTGAATTTGGCTCAACTTTTAAAATTATAACATCCATATCAAATCATAAAAGCAGACAAAAATTAAAGCCAAACCTATCGGCCAATTTTTTTTTGATATTTTGATTTTTGAGGTATACTTTTAAAAGTGGATTTAAAGCACTGATGAAAAAACATTAACTTCTGTCGTTATGATTATTGATTTAGACAATAATGATTTTAATCTTTGATTATCAAAACACTAAAGTCATCTTTTTAACATTTGCTTGGTAGCATTAACTCAAGTCTAGAGTACTATTTTATGTGGCACTCTTAGAATTTTTGTATTCATTGTACACGCTGAAATAGTACCATTAAAGTTATGGCGGACTTTCAAAAAAATAGTTTGGTCACCTTTTGATGGCTCAATTATGCATAAATTTTGTGGGCACAAATTTTCTATTTTTGGCATGGATAAACTTGTTTTAAGGGTGCACCCGCATGTACGTTTATTTGAGAGGAGGAGGATTACCCTCTCAATTTTGAAAGCTTCGTTAACTTAATATCTCGATGAATATTGGATTAAAATTGAATTTGCCCATACCAATATATCTGATACAATATCCTTAAGTTCTACTAAAAAGAATTTTTTAAAATCCCTGCAGATTCGGGGATTTTTAAATTTTTTGATTTTTTTCGAAAATTTTTCGGAAAAAAAATATTTTCAGAAGAGCCTTAACGGCTAAGTTTTATGTTTAATGTTGAGTATCAAAAAGAATGGGCATCTGATATAGCCATCATATATCCCAGAAGCAAATAAAAATTCTGACTTTTTAAGCATAAAAAATGAAATTTTATTTTTTGCAAAAAACAGGCCACCCGGATGTACGTTTATTTGAGAGGAGGAGAATTAAATTTTTGAAAGCACTAAAATTTGTAAATATGCTAGTTATATAATAATATGCATTATTTAAAAAAAATAAAAATTAAAGCACGTTAAAATCTTTTTTGATGAATTTTTACAAAAGCTACTCAGGATAATGCAAGATATGAGTAGTTAAACATAAATTTCAAATCAGATTTTACTTATAATAAATATTTTAAATTTCCGAAAATTAAGTTCAGATCGACTCTATACGTAGTAAATACTAAATAAGGTGCCCAAAACCTATTAAACAGTATCAAAACTACCAAGATTGTAATGTTTTTGAAGAAAAATTTATAGAATTATGGACTTCAAACAGATATTATGTAAATAAAAATAATATAATGAATTTATTTATTCGTATAATAGCAGTAATAAGTCGATTATTCACTTCTACTTCTGAGATTTGAATTTAATTTCGACAGAAAAAGAGATTCAAGAGGAAAATACTAGGGGATACAAACAGCCACCATGACAGGATTATTATGGAGCCAAGTTGTATTTTTTGATATTTTTAGAGTTTTCCTACCTATTTAGGTACCAAGTTATTGCTTAAAAATTAAGGTTCTAAATTCTGAAGTTTACAGGATCCTCCCGGGCGCACCCTTAATTCAGTGTTAATATAGCCATTATATATATTAGTTCATATTAATGCATACTGCTATAGGATGTTTTCTTTTAAATCTTCCAGATGACGAGATAGAGGCACTTAAACTAACGCATAATTTTTGAACTTTTAAAGCTAAAGAACATTGCTGCAGGCAAATAAATTTAGAATGATTGTATAATATGTGAATGCCTTCGATTAGCAGATAATATATTCCAGATATCAAGAAAATATCTTAATATAAAAAGGTGCTTTTCCACAGGCTGTTGATATCTTAAAAATGGATAACTAAGCCTGAAATTGTGTTCTTTCAGTGATATCATCTAATTTTAGTATACATTTAACATTTTAAAAATATATAAGATTAATAATAGAAATAATCATTAAAAAACATTTATTGGTGAGACATAACAAAGTGATATAGATATGATACTTCATTTGCTACAAAGATTACCATTGAATTGGAATAATTTCTTTTATTCCAGTTTGCAAAGACCATTTGATGTGTCTGAAGGATCTTTGTATGAACATATTCATGAAGAAGCTTCATTTTGTTGCTATCAACAGGAATTTCAAAGTTTTGGCCAAACATCTTTTTAACGACAAAAGAAAGATCTTGTTTTTCTAAGTACACAAATTTATGGCTAGCTATGAAGTTGTTTAAGGCATCGCATGTAGTTCCACTTAAACACTGAATAAGCAAACATCCTTTTGACGAACATATGGCAATAAGTCCTATAGATGGTTCGCTTTGGACTTGCTTCCACATTACTTGTAAACTCATTGTAGAATTGTCATCAATTTCATCTAACTTTTTTTGAAGCTCGAAATCAAAAGAATAGACACATTTGATCTTTGTAAATATTCCTTTACTGAATTCTATTGTTAATTCTGTATGATTCCACGTTTGATTATAAGAATTCACAAATTTAGGTAATTCTTCGAATTTAATTTCTGAACCCCCATTAAGGTTGATGTAAAATGAAGGTCCGAGACGTCTAATTTCTTCTAATTCGTTTTGATCAGCTTCATATTTTTTCCTTCTAGTATGTTTGGCTTTGATCTTATATCCCTTAGATTTTTCTGGTTGTGGCACTTCTGCTGATACTTTTTCGTCGGTTTCTATGATATCCTCTTTTTGAGAATCAGAATCTTCTTCTGTTGATGGTTTTTTCTGTTTTCTTTCAGTTGTTTTGTTTCTATTTTGCTTATTTTCGCGTATTCTTTTTTCTTTTGGTGCTTTTTCAACTGGATTTTCGAAAGCAAGAGGTGATCCTTGATATTTCTCAAATCCTTGTAAGCATGCATAAAGAGCAACAGCATCGTTAGCTGCATAAAGTATTTGGCAAGGTGAAAGTTTCAAATTCCATTTTGATCGAGAAATCTTTTTATTTTTGAATTCTCCGCAAGGTGTATCTGAACAAAACTGTGCAACCATCTCATCAAATCCTTCTTTAAGATGATTTCTTCTAAGAATTTGAGCAGCAACGTCACAAACTTTGAATGTGAAGTCTTGGCCAAATGTAGTACGTAGCATTTTTATGTCAGATGCAATATCTTTCATGAAAAATTGATTGGTAGTTAAGAAATTCAAAAGATCATTGCATTGTTTTTTACTTTCTCTTTTGATAAGCAAACAGCCATGAGATGAACATAATTGGAATAAACATACTCCAGCAGATGGATTGAACGGATGCCATTCAAGATCTAAAGCAATAGGATTTCCATCTACGTATTCTGATAGAATTTGTTTCAGATTTGGATTATCTGACATAATGTATTGTACTTTCGTAAATTTGTTTTGGAAAAATTCAACATCCTTTGAAGAATTAATCGGCCATTTTCCAGTAATCTCCATAATATCCCCTTTAAGCATTTCTCTGTCAATCCTTTCAACGCCTGTAACGTTTACTGGATTTACCTCAGTTTGCTTGTTTCCTACAGATTCCATAAAAATTTGATGAAAAAAACGACACACAAAAAAAATTGATAGCTTCTTCAATGATATCAACATATCACAACAAATGAGGTTAAGCGGGAAGGACGCGTTTTATTTCTATTGAGTAATGTTACACTTTGATGAGTATTTCCTTATTTTATGGATTTTAATTTGAATCATCTCATAATTAATCTTCAGCTAAACAAGTATATTTACATTGATGGAATATACAAATGTATAAGCAAAGCATGAGTATATTTAATTCGCATGTGAGATTAAATGTCAATTTAACTATATTTGCATAATTACATGATGTGCAAATGATATAGCTCATGACCCAAGTTTTCCTGAGATTATCACAAGGCTAGTCGCAACGATAAATCAAATGATTTACGCATAATACCCAAATATAGTAAAATTCTTGACATTATTGTAAATAATTACTTAGATATTGCATAAAATTATAGTTTGTTGGCCCAAAGATTAATCGCAGTTCAAATATCATTAGTAGTATATGTGGACGGGTTTAGTGACTTTTTTTGTTACATCTATATATAGACGATACATTAAAATATAAATCATAGTATTATATGTGGAAGTGTTGTGTACGTAGTATATGTGGAAGGATTGTGTACCTTTTTTTGTTACATCTATATATAGACGATGCATTTATTTATAAATCATTAAAAAATTAACATTAATTTTAAAATAATTTATTTTTTATCTTTTATAAAAGAAGTTATATATAGATGATGTCAGATATTCCGCGATTAATTAAACATTGTTTAAATCCTGAATGGGTTAAACTTCAATTTAAAAATGAAGATTGTGAATTATTAAATGAATATGAAAGCCAAAATAAGCTAATGAGGTATAAATATAATGATAAAGAATATTTAATTTCATGGAATCAATGGAGTCATAATCAAAGACCTCATAAACGAGAAGAAGAAATTGAAAATAATGAAATGGAAATCATTGATGACATTAAAGAGGATGGAATTCCTAAATTTTGTAGAAAAACCTTTAGAACTAAGTTAGGAGCATATAAACGTAGAGTATTAAATCCTGAATATCTTAAACATCAATTTAAAAAGGAAGATTGTGAATTATTAAACGCTAATGAATATGAAAATGCTAAATCAAAACTGAGATATAAATATATTGGAAGTGATGAAAGGTGTAAAGATAAAGATAAAGTTTATTCAGTTTCATATAATAACTGGCACACGTTAGGGATAAGAAAACATTTAGGAGATTATGGTAAAAGTTCTGAATTCTTCAAATCTAGTATGTACGAGAGAATAAAAGAAATTAGAAATAATTATTTTCATGAATGAAAGATTCACTACCATAATGAAATAAAAAATAATTTTTTAAAAAATAAACTTTAAAAATTCATGTCTTACATTTTTTGAATAATTTATTTTTTTAATTCGTAAGAAAATGAGTGTCAAGACTAACGACGTTAAAAAATTGGGATTCACAAACGAGGAAATAAAGGATATATTAGAGGAGGCGAGTTATGAAGTTAATAAATATTATTTAAGAAATTGTCAAAAATTCGCGGAGTTATTAAATGATTTAGATTATGATGGAAAAATGAATAAAGATGATGTTATAAATTTCTTATATCCCACATCTGAAGAAGAAAAACCTAAAGAACCTGATGTTTTCCCTGAATATTATGAAGAACGGATTAAAGATGATGAATATGATGAAATTGAAAGACTGGAAAAAATAAGAGATGAAATAGATGAAAAAATTAAGGAATTAAGAGAAGTTGAAAAATATAATGAGAATGAAGTAGAGGGTTTAATGAATATCCCAGCTTCAGAATCAGAAGTTCAAAAATCTCATGAAGAAAGATATAAAAATTACTTTTTGGAATCTACTAAAAATTTATTAGATGGTGAAATAGATGAAACACTTTCAGAAGAAGGCACAAAATTTATTCATAAACATAAGTTACAATTTATTGACGATGGAGATTATCCATGTATATTACTTTCACCTCCTCTTGATTCTGAAAAATTCAAAAAAGCACTGAAAAATGTAACATATGCAACAAATACGATTAAGAAAGAAGACCATGATATTTACACAAATTATTATTTAAATAAATGTACAGGTGTTGATAAAGTTTTTGATTTGTTAGATAAAATATCAAAAGAAACAATTGGTACATATAAAATTTTATGCGATTGTGGTTTCATTATTGAAGATACTAATAATGTTTCATATGAAAGAACAGCACCGAAGGAAGACGAAGTTGAAAGGTCTATACCATTCGTTATTAAGAATATAAAAGATATGAAAACTTATAAACATTATATTTATTCATTTATTTCAGAAAAAATGGAAGCAACCCATAAAACATCATCTCATCATTTTATAGCTATTCATACATTCCTTTTCAAAGTTGTGAAATTAAATAAGACAGGAATTAGATTTAATGTATCAGGGTACGCATTCTTGAGTAAATTAAAATGTATTCGTCACGTCGCAGATGATAAAAATTTATGTGTTCTTAATTCATTTTATGGACTTTAGCCCTGGACTTTAAAAAAATAAACTTTATTTTTATTTATTTTTTAATTTTTATTCTTACATAAATGAACAAAAACGGAACAGCTAAAATGAATGATAATCAAATAAGAGCCGAAGGTAGAAGGTTATTTAAACGCTTCTATAACATTCCTGATGGTGTTAATCCTAAAACTCGTAGAAGTTATTTAAATGAAGCCATAGATGCATATGAAGGATTTGACATTTCATCAGAAAGTGAGAGGTTAGCAAGAATGTTAAACGTTAATATTGATTTTTATTATTGTGACCCTCAACCAGAAGACGTAGACATAAATAAGGTAGACTTTCCATTAGTGGAATCAATAATGATAGATCCAGAATTTGAAACAGTAAATATTTTATTAACACAGAGTCCATGTGGAAAACTTCACGCTGACAGAATTACAGACGTTGAAGCACTCACAGGATATAAAGTTTGCCCCTTTTGCAAAGAAGAAGTATATTCTATCCGTGATGACCAGAAAGGAAAAACCAAAGAAGATTTTTAAAACATTGTGAGAAATGTAAAGAAAATAATGGAAGATTAATTCAAGACGTTCAATTGCAAAACACACAACAACCATATGCACCACATATCACGAAACAGAAGATATATCAATGGCTATTAGCTCACAATTTGCAGGAATATTATAAACCAACAAGATATTATATTACTTTTGACTTCGAAACATTAGAGACTAAAGAAGAACTTCAACTTTCTGAATGTGCAACTTTGAACGCTTACTTAAAACCATTTATGGTATCATCAACTGTCAAAATAAAGCCGCAAACGGACTCTTTGAGTCCTGAAGGTCTTTCAGACCGAAGCGGCGAGGTCGTAGACCGTGATAAAACATTTACGAGGAATTTTTGCTTAACATCAAGTGATTCGTTCATCTCTGATTGGATTGAATTTTTATTTTCAACCTGTTCATTAGTTGCTAAATCAAATATTGAACAATATGAAGAATTAATGAAGCCGCAAACGGACCAAACGGCGGGGACTTTGTCCCATACATTAAATGAAAAACAGAAGGAAGCATTTAAAGAACTTCTAGATGAGGAATTCAATAAAGTGAATATCATAGGTTTTAATTCGGGAAAGTTTGATTTAAATTTAATTCTTCGTGATTTAAACACTGCAAAATGGAAAATAAAATCAATGCTGGGTTCTTCTTCTCAATTTAAGCAAATCATTGTAAAGAAAACAAACTGTCCATATGAATTAAGATTTATTGACATCAGAAATTATATAGCGGGTGGAACATTAGACCAATTCACTCAAGATTTCGGAAACAATAAATCACGTGTTAAATCCTTTTTCCCTTATCAATTCATCACATGGGAGAATTACGAAGATGAATTATATAAAGTGGAACCATTCACTCAAGATTCATTTTATTCAGCATTAACTCAAGAAACAATATCCGATTCAGATTATCAAATATATCTCAATGATGCTAAAAATTTTGAGAATAGATTAGAATATTTTATTCATTATTGCAATAAAGACGTTGAAATTATGATTGACCCAATTGATAAAATTATTGAAGAAACATTTGTTTATAAAATTGACATGCTTCATAATCTTTCTTTATCATCGAATGCATCAATGATTCGTTACGCGTTAGCATATAAGAACTTCAATCCTAACGAAACATATCCAGAAGAAGAAAATGTGGAATCAAGTTTTGAATTAACAAAAAAGTATTGGAAATATAAAATTGATTCATATAAGAAACAAGATGAAAAAGCAGAAAGGGATACTAAAAACAATGTTTCAATGGATGACTATCAATACTATCACGATTTAATCCTTTCATCTAAATGCAAAATGTGTGGTAAAGCGTTTACATATGCTAATAAACCAACATTAGATAGAATCGATAATGAAAAACCACATACCAAAGAAAATTGTCAGTTAATGTGTTGTTATTGCAATGTCGTAAAATCAAATAAAGATGAAGATGTTCAACGTTTAAGAATCAATTTAAGAAATTATGCATTAAAAAATAATTTACCAATGACTCTAGATTCAGTTGAAGCTTATCACATCCTCCGTAATGGAATTACTGGTGGTTTATCAAATGTTCAACATAGAGTAAATCTTAAAGGAATCACGCACATTAATAAACTTTCATATAATCCAGAAACTAAAACTGTATCAAATGAGGACACCACCAACATTATGACTCATTTGTTGGTGTTGATTTAATTCATTATATCCTTCATCATTTTCATCTAATCCTCATGATTTCATTCAATATACTGACCATAAAATGTATATGCCGGGAAGATTGAATGGTGTTATCATTTGTGATACAGCAACAAAGAAAGCAAAAGCATTGGGAATAATTAAGAAGAAAAATACTTTATTCGTGGCTGAAGTAAAGGGTCACATTGATGAAAAATACATTAATGATTACATAAACTTTTTACCGATA